GTGCCCTGATGGTGTTTTTTGTTTTTAAAAGTATTTCCTTAATTTTTGGCACTACAAGATGCTCCTGGCATATCTCGTGTATTTCCTGTTAGGCACCTCTTCTGTATATTCTATCCCAGTCCTAAAATCCCCTATTTCCCCATTTTCCAAAAAGACCTGGTTCTTTTTCTTGGATAATAGTATTAGAAACCAAGACATGGGCATTAGGTTTGTTCACGGCTACTGAGATGTCACGGACTCTAGGCCTTCTCAGTTGATGGATCATAGAAATATGTGTGTCTACAGTGTCTACATCTGTCTATAGATATTTCAGCATTATTTCAGCAAATTAAATCACTTTAATTTATTTTAAGCTAAACATGAGTTAATAATGATGTCTCCAACTCTATTTCCATTACCATATGGATCATTCTAGCTCTGTCTCTTGCTTATCTGTAAACTCCCACTCCAACAATGGGAACTCTGGCTCCCATCATTCACCATTTATATACTTAATTGTTTAATTCCAAGATACATGTATAGCTGAGTTGGATTTGTTAATCTTTCCTGGCATGGGAAAAACTTTATCAACCAGAGCATAGTGTTTACACACCATCTTAGCCAAAATCACTTAGAAGTGATTGAGCATAGCATTTCAATAAAGTTTCTTTTACATTTAATTTTACAAACTCCACTAATTTCCAAAGCCTCTTAGGTCAGCATCTCCTCTTCCAGTGAGGTGTTTTATATATTTGTAATACAGTCACATTCTATATTCTCTCCTGGGATCCCCTGTCATCCTAAGTAATTTTTAAAATTTTGTATAAATTAAGGTCCATTGTAAAGTTTTCTATATTGAATGGCTTTGACAGATGCATAGTGTCATATGTCAGGAATTATGTATCATACAGCATAGTTATACTTCTCCCTAAAAATCACCCATGCATCAACTCTCCCTTCTGAACCCCTGGCAACCCCTGAACTTTTTACTGTGTCTATAGTTTTGCCTTTTCCAGACTGCCATATAATTGGAGAGTATGTAGTCTTTTCAGACTGGTTTCTTTCACTTAGAGATATGTATTTATGATCCATCCATGTCTTTTCATGACTTCATAGCTCATTTCTTTTTTCCTCCTAAATAATATTCCATCGTATAATTGCCATTTGGTTTTTACAAAGGCACCTGAGTGGTTCAATAGGAAAAGTATAGTTATTTTGACAAAGTTGGAACTATTTGAACCCATTTACAAAACATGACACTCAATCTTATACTTATACCTTATATAAAAATCAACTCAAAATGAATTGCCAATCTAATTTTAAAATGATTAGACTGCTAGAAGAAAGTATTTATGACCTGGGATTAAGCAAAGTATTTTCAGATGGAACTCCAAAAGCAAGATCCATAAAAGAAGTTGATAAATTGGAATTCATCAAAATTGAATACCTTTGCCTTGCAACAGACTATTTAGAGAATAAAAAGACAAACTACAGACTGGGAGAAAACATTTGCAAACCACATGTCCAACAAACGACTTGTATCCAAAAAATATAAAAACTCTTAAAACTCCATAGTGAAGAAACAAGCAAACTAATTCCAAAATTGGGAAATACTTAGACAGGTACTTCACAAAGAATATATACAAATGGCACATGAAAAGATGTTTGACACCATTAACCAGCAGGGAAATGAAAATATGTGGTCTGGACCCTTAATATTTCTCTGAGTTCCTCTCCCATGTTTTCCTGCCTCACTTGGTCCACATCAAACCACACACATATCTTTGCTGTTTCTAGAATGTCCCAGACAGTCCCGACTTCTACTCAAAATGTACTTCCCCAAATATTCACGCTAGCTTTCTCCACTTTTTCAAACTTTGCTAAATGTCACCACCCTAATGAGGGTTGCTATCTCCATCATGTTTAAATTGCAATTGTCTGTCCCTGCATTCTTAACTCCTTTCTGTTTTACTTTTTCAAGCATTTGTCATCTTCCAACAGATTATATAATGTACTGATTATATTTGTTAGTTGTTGATTGCCTTTCTCTGCTAATATCGAAATTTTATGGAGACAGGGATTCCAGTGGCTTACATACAGTGGATTAAAAATATGTATTACTTTTATTAAAGAAATAAAGTTGCTGCCCACCATTTGATAGAATTTTTCTACTGTGATCCGAATATCAAACATCACTTTTATGTGTTTTAAATCCTTACTAATTTAGAGGTTAGTTGTAGGGGCTAATACTATTACATTTTCCTGAATCTGCATTAGAATGATGTGATGATTTCACACAGAATCCCTACTTGTAAGTCTAAGACTTATGACTGAGTACTCTGCTTTCTCAATGGTGCCTTATCTTTCTATGTCTTTTCTACTTCTCTTTTTATTTCCCTTTTTGCTTTCTATATCTTTCTGTCTTTCCTTCTTTCTTGTTATTTTTTCATGGGAATTTATAATTTGGGTAGATTAGTGATATTCTTTTATTCTTTTTCCTCAAGTATGAAGTAATGCTTTTTAAAAAAGTCATGAATTTATGGTAGTGTTATTAAGTGCATTTATAAAAATAGTTTTTTTTTTTTTTGTAGGAAGGGATGATGTTGCAATAGAGAAAGGTTTTGTCTTTTTATTCACTTAAAATTTGGAACTGGTACCAAGGAACTCAAGTAGAACCTATCATAAGTAAACAAGTAGATATTCATTTTCACTGAACAAATTAGGTAGGCTCATAGAAGCAGTAGATCGACTAGGTCCATTTTTACCTTTTGTTTATGTCCACAGTCAAGCTTTTTGGATATACCTTCAATGAGAAGAAAAGATCAAAGTTTTTGGTTTTGCAAAGTGTTGTGCAAAACATGTATAATGGGTGTCTCAGCCCTTCTTTCTGTTCTTAGCTCAAACTCATGCTTGAAAGAACTGATGTTACTACTTCTCCTATATAAAAAGAAGCAAATGGCATAGGTTTAAAAAACCCATATAGGCGTCTTTATATTAAGAGAGTTTAGGTTTAAATGGTTATCTTCTCTTTGACAAGTTGGTCCAGAAAGCAGTAGAATAAGCATTAGCTTTGGAATAGAAAGTGCTAGGATTCAAGAAATAAGGAAAACAGATTCCCTTGCTTCCTAGTTAGTACAGCTTAGTGGAGGGAGATAGGTATTTAATAAAATAACCAATCTCAGTGACATGTAACTACGAATTAGAAGAGCTTCAAAAGTAGAGTAAAAGGAGCTATAGCAAGGATTAGAGAGTGGTGCACCTGAGAAGCACAAGGAGTTGGAGAGGGACAAATGGGTTCTCCATAGCTGTTTTGTTTCTTCAGTCTCATATGGACCAGTATAGGTCATCCATGTAATTGATGCAATGGATTAAGCCTGATGTCCGCTGATAGGACATTTGCAGGTGTGGCTATGCCTTAATGGATCTGTTTTGGAGATCAAATAGTGTAGTTTTTTTAAAGCACAGATTTCCATCAGGATCTTCCTATAGTTTTAAGAAAGATAGCGTGATGCTGTTGGAAATAACAGTACAGAATAATCTGACAAAGCTCTAAGAAAGCACCAGAAGAGGAGGGTCCCCTGATTCAGGAACTGCTGCAATGGCTGGCAGCTAACACAGCAGCAGAAGGTAGGGAGGTGACAGACACGCAAGGCAGATGTTCTACTGAGCTCCTCCATCTGGATGGGGCCTTTTGGTTCTACTGCTCTTTCCCAGCCCTGCAGAAAGCAAGTGCCAATGATGCATCTTCATTAGGATGAACATGACTTTGGATAGAGGAAAAGAAATTATCATTTGCTGAAAGCCCAGGGTCAGTGAGAACCCAAATGCGGTACTGATAGTATTGGGGGAAAGTGACAGGACCATCGCCTCTTCTTTTGAAAGAGGACTCATTGACAATATGAAGGGAAATCATCTAATCCCAACCTTCATCAATAATACAGGGACGCAATGTGTCAGGAATAGCTATGCTTTGATTATTCACTCTGTGCCAGACTCTCTATGATCTGTCTCGATTCCTTTCCCCTTATTTCACAGATCTCATTTTCCCCTTGTCTCCCCACTGACCACTGTACATGAGCCATAATGACCTCCTCATTAATTCCTCGAAGACCCCAAGAAGTTGCCATCTCTCTGGAATTTGCTCTTCCTATTCTCTGTCTAGAAATCGCTTCATGTCTGTGCATGGCTTATTCTGTCATTTTAAGGTCTCTACTCAAATTCCTCTCCAAAAAGAGGTCTTGCCTGACCACCCTATCCCTAATAGTACATTTTGTCACTCTCTAGCTTTCCACACTGCTTTTGTTTCTCTACAAAATTTCTGCACTGCCTAACTGTGAAGTGCACGTATTTGTTTATCACACCAATTAGAATGGAAGCTCAGTGATGTGGAGATTTTGACAGTCTTCTTCACTGTGCTATCCTGAGTGTGTATTACGGTATTTGCACAGAGTAGGCACTCAAGAAGTACTGGGAGGAATCACCAAATGGATCTTATTTAATATCCAAAGCACAGTTTGAGAAGTAGGTGTTATTGTTACTTCATTTGACAGAGGAGGAAACAAGATTAAGCAATTTACACAAAATAAAGAAGATACTGATTTCAAAATCTGATCTTTTTACTTAAATCATTTTGTCCCATTTTAATCTTTGATTTTCTCTGAATCATATATGCTAAAGAGAAAGATCAGAAACTACTACTTACCTGTGTTATCAAAACTGTCCCTTTGCCAGGCCAGAGAGTATAATATAAAAAGAAGAGTGATAGTATGGATAGCATCTAGTGATACTGGAAGTAGGAACAGATAGAAAAATTGTTATGGACTAAATTTGTGTCCTGTCAAAATAACTATGTTGAAACCCTAACTCTGATATGACAATAGTAGGAGGTAGGGCTTTTGGGAGGTGCTTAGGTTTAGATGAGATCAGGAGGGTAGAGTTCTTACATGAGATTAAGACCTCCTATAAGAAGAAACCAAAGAGAGTAATTTCTCTCTCTCTCTCTTTCTCTCTCCAATGTGAAGACAAAGCAAGAAGATAGCAATCTGCAAGAGGGCTTTCACCAGGAACTAAACCTGCCTGTACCATGATCTTGGATTTTCCAGCCTCCAGAACAGCTTCCAGTACTGTTTGTTGTTGAAGCCACCTGGTTTATTGTATTCTGTTGTAGAAACCAACCTAAGACAAGAATATTCTCCAAGCATTTATGCTCAAGGTTGCCTCCTTTGCGGGTTTCACAAGAGAATTTATATGTGTATGTCTCAAAGAAGAGACTTAGCATGATGCTTCTGAGGAGCAGATGACCTTTCCGGACAAAGGACAAACAAGAGAAACTGAAGACAAATTTCCAGGAGATTCTCAGCCTCTAGCCAGGGTTCCCTAGGAAGGAAAATTATAACTTTTCAGTCTCCTGAAGATGAAGCTCTGAAACACCATTTCCGTATTTAGCATTCTGGGTGGCCAGAGGCAGAGAGTAGCAGCACTGATGAGGATATAATGATGTAAGGCCCTGTTTGTATAAATAACTGTGGGAAATCCCAAAGTTTACAAGTGGTGATGACCACAGACTCCAGGTCCCTCAAGCCAGGTGTGCAGATGTCGTGATATCTTTTCGCACATGTCCTGATCTACCTCATTTTGAATGCTTTTGGTGAAGGCCGTTATATTCTCATTTCTCAATTCTGGGTTAGTTTGTATGGAAAACCACACTCTCCTCACAGAAAGAACTAAGCTATTGAACTTCTTTGTGAACTTTTATTATGAGTATGCCCTTGGGTGGTTATTTTTTGTGTTACCAGTAGCTGAAATGTGTCTTGTTTTTGTTAACAAGCACATTACTGAATTACACTCATTTTCACTGATTTTGCCAGCATAAAAATTAGAATGGAGGACATGATAAGCAATATGGCAAAAGCAAAATCAGGACATAGTAATAAAACGTGGATAAACTTGAATGCTGGGGTATCCTGCATAATTAAATTTTTTTAAAGTTTTGGTTAGCTGAGAGGCAACTTCTACGGCCCTCCCAACTCTGGAAGTCTTGAATAATGTTTGAGTTCACTCCCCTGTCATTAAAAACAGTATATTAAACCTAATGATACCCACTTTTAATTAAAAACCCAATAGTGTACTAGGTAAACCCTTCCAATTTATCAATTTTCATTGATTATTGTAGATAGAAGATTGACCAAACCTTGGATCACAAACCATATCTAGAATTAAGAAAAAAAATCACCTTTATAAATAGGATTTTTCAAAGCATGTGATAAATGCTCCTTAACAAGTAAGGTGCCCAAATAAAAAAGCCTATTTAAAGGAGAGGAATCTTTCAGTCAAATGGGAAAACACTAGTGATTGGAAAGTTTGGTAGTTTGAATTTCAAAACTCCACTATATTTTTATATTTTCTCTATGAAAGACTGACATTTCTCAGTTCCCTTATTTTCTTTTTAAATATCAATTTAATATCTCCACAATCTTACAATACCTTGATGTTAGTGTTGTTCCCAAACTTCTAAAAGAGTACTGGACCCTCAACTTTAATTATAGTTGTGACATTTTATTTAAGCAACTTTAAAATGGAGATTCCTCCCCCCCCTTTTTGAATGTGATAAAGAAAAAAGATTGGTTTAGAAGAGCAAAAGCAGGGGCGCCTGAGTGGCTCAGTGGGTTAAGCCGCTGCCTTTGGCTCAGGTCATGATCTCAGGGTCCTGGGATCGAGTCCCACATCGGGCTCTCTGCTCAGCAGGGAGCCTGCTTCCCTCTCTCTCTCTCTCTGCCTGCCTCTCTGTCTGCTTGTGATCTCTCTCTGTCAAATAAATAAATAAAATCTTTAAAGAAGAGCAAAAGCAAGTGAAATATCAAAATAAAACAAAAAACACAATTTACACAATTTTTATTATGATCTTTATATGTGTGACCATCCTAGTTTTATTTAGCAAATCTTTATGTAGAGCTCACTATATTCCAGGCACTATTTTAAGGCTGCCTATGGATATTATGTCTTCATTAATCCTTGTAACACCCCTATGAAGTAGTTACTGTTATTCCTCTTTTACCCATCAGGAAATGAGACTTAGAGAAGTTATGTAGCTTTCCCAAGGTCACAATACTATTAAATGAAAGAATTGTGATTTGAAACACCCAGATTATGTGCTTTCAACTATTATACTACGCTGTCAGTCTTGGTTGCATGAAAGACAGAAGCGTTCAAAATGTCAACTTCCAGGACCCATCACTGTTTGGGGCTATTAATATCTGGAAATAAATGAATTTTATGACCTATCTCTCTTACCTCAGGAATATATAATGAATATTTTATAAGTATGCATTTATGCATGTCACACACACACACACACACACACTACAATAAAAATGCAGTTCTAACTATGTTATTGTTCCAGGATTTCCTTAAAATTTGTCCTCTCCAAAGATTTGGGCATTTCCAGGTAATCCAAGAATAAGTTAATGGAAATGCCTGAGTCCTCATCATTTTGTAGTTATTATTTTCTGTCCTGCTTCACCTTTGGGTGCTGATTATCTTTGTGTTCCATGCTTTTCCACATTCTATGCGAATTCATGATACACTCATGCATAACTTATATCGTGGTTGTTTTATGACAGTCAAAACTATCAAGTAGCCTGCAGTTACTCAACCTTCCCTCTGAAATAAAATCAGAAAAGCCAAAATTCTAATTATGACTCAGATGTGAATAAACATATAGCTTTTTTTGTTTTCCAAAACCAATTTCATATTGCTCTCATGTTTTTCTTTTAGTTATTCCCTTTAGTAGAAGAAAAAAACCCTCACAAACTGTCACTCACACTTCAACTGGGACTCTTCTAGTTTGAAACCATCTCTTGTAGCTACAAAGCAGTCAGTTCAGGGTTGGCACTAACCTCTCAGGGCTGTTTGTCCCGGGTTGATACCCATGTTGTTGAATTGCTGCTTTGGTCCCCCAAATGCTAACATCGGCCTCGGATCGCCATGGATCCTATCCTTGTCTCTGGTTGTGAGGTCCCTCCTCTGTGAAGTCTCCTTGTCCTGAGCACAGCTCTTCTTCTGTTCTGCTAGACCTATTAATACCTATAAGAGAACTCTGCAATAGGATTTTTCGAAGGCACAAGGATGTTATAGATGCTCCTTAACTAAGTAAGGTGCCAGATTAAAACAGCTATTTAAAGGACAGGAATTACTCAGTCAAATAGAAATTGTAGAAAGGGGTCAAAATCCTGACAGGAGAGGATTTGGTGAGGAGATTTACTTTAGAGAATGTTATGCTAAACCCTGTTTTAGTCAGGTTTCTCCAGGGAAACAAAACCAATAGGATGTGTGTGTGTGTGTGTGTGTGTGTGTGTGAAGGGATTTATTTTAAGAAATTGGCTCATGCAGGTGGGAGGGTTGCTAGGAGAGCCTCGGGTGGGGACCTCTGTGGACTTTGGGAACTCACTCATGTCAGAAAGAGCTATAGAAGCCTAAGTAAAAGCTAGAAGCCTGCGTTTAGGGAAAACTACATGTCCACTAATAACCAAACAGATAATGCATCTTTCCCATGGAGGAAATGTGGGCCACATCCAGATCAGACCTATCTCTGAACTGCTTTCATTTCTACCCAGGAGGAGGGCAAAGGGCTTCCAGCTGTGAAAGTCTATGTATAGAGTGGCCACTGGAGAACCACACTGAATGAGAAATCTCATCCGTGTCATTGGAACTGCCCAGAAGGGAAGGAGGCTCTGAAATGCCCACAGAAGTACCCTGTTTAAATGTCTGCCAGGCTCAGAGGGCGTGATGTCGCTCTGTGACTTTCATGCCACCTGGAATGTAGTGCTGTGATGTGCACTTACTTGGGCTTCTCTGAGATGCTTCTGGCTTCCTCAGCGATACCTGTGGAAATGGGGCACCCACTCCCAGTGTTCTTAAACTTCAACAACACTAGGTGGATATTTCTGTGCCTTTTTCACTCTGAAGACTGTAGGAAGCTGGGAAGCTCCCATCTTTCTCTTTTGTTCCTTTATTTCTTCCTCTCTTCTCAGCACTGAAAAGGTTCTTTCTTCATCCTTCTGTCTGGCAGGAATTTTTGCCTTATGTTGTAGTGTATTCTTTTTCTATTTCTTATTAGGGACTCAATTTTAGTGCAAGAAAAGGATGCAGGAAACCAAGTGTATTTTAGCAAAACCAAAAAAATATTTAGGGAGGTAATCTTATGGCTGTTTCTTATTCTACTGCTGCCAGTGGCATTTTATGGACTTGCCTTGCTTATGGATGTTTGGGTAGAATCGTCACTGCACTAAGAATATTAACTCATGGTTGCCTCCTATATTACACAACCAATTTCTCCCTTTATCTAGCAACAGATCCCTTTTGTTCTTCTCTTCCTTTTTTTGTATTTAATAATCATAAGGTAATTTTTCCAGCCTGAATTAGAGAAGAATTATAGATGCATATATATATATATATATATATATATATATATATATATATATGACACTATTTCAGTGTTTTACTCTCTTTCTCATAGGTTGTGTGTACAAACCAGGATCAATCCTTGGATTCAAAGGAATGGATAATTGGAAAATAACTTTATTAAACTTTGTTTAAATGTGCATGCAGGAAATAAAATCTTAGATTTTCTTTAGACAAAAAAATACATGAATATTCAATCACGGTGATTTCTAATAATTTCAGCATTTTGTCTCAATAGATGGTGGAGTGATTTTCTTTTTTCCAGAGGGGGAGGTAGAGGCATATTTTCAGTAAAGATTTTAATTGTGTAATTTGACTTTTTAAAAATAGGATGCTAGATGTAATGTCTGTATATGCATTTTCATTAAACATTCTTTTCAATCAGATATACTAAAGATTCTTGTTTGGGTTAAGTCAGATTTGTCAGCTCTTCAATCAGTTTGTAGTACATTGTAAAAGAATATACTCAAAACAGAGCTGAGCTGTCAAGCTGTGACAACTTTGAATGAGGAAGATTTTCAAAAATTATGAGTGAGATATTTTAAATGTCTCCTTGACATCCACAGAACTATTCAAAATACTTCATCAGAGGCATGTGCTTTAAAAATGTACTTGAAAATTAATGTGAGGAGTGCAATTTGTCAGTCTTTGTCTTAGCAAACGCATCACTGACAGTCACAGAACACTGACAGTAATACAGCCCTGAGTCTCTCTACCCATGTACTGCTGGGATGGAGGAGAGATGGACTGACCCATTCAAGGGGCAGTTAGAAGGGCCTCAAGCAAAGCAGCAACATAAGAGACCTGGTTCCAAGTCCTGTTGATACCTGTTTGAGCTGGTGGCGAATGGCAAACTTCATTTGTCCTTTGCCAGGAGGATTGTGTGATTTAGTGATTCCTCAAAGGAGCCATCTCATCCTCAGCTGTGAGTCAGGGACATGAGCTATTTGTCCTGACCTCAGCTCATAACAAGGAAGGCTATGGCAAAGAGACAAAGCCTTGGCTATTTATTTTAAATAAGTCTCTTAAGGGGTAAAGAAAAATCACAGACCTGGGGCCGTCCTACCTTAGCTTCTTCTAAATTCAAGGAAACCTTTCCAACACCTGACCTGGAAGAGCCCTCCAGGGACACCACTTAATTGGTGAAGGGGCTTAAGAATGGATCACATTGAGCCATGGACTTTCATGTTTCTTTTCACTGCTCCTCAGTACCTGTCAAATGCGTGTGTTGTATGCTTATCTGTTGCCAGAAATCAAGGTGGGGAAGGCACACAGTGCTGGATATTGAAGAGAATAACTTAAAATAGATTTAAAGGTGATCCTGTCTTCCATTTGCATAGTGTCCTTGGTCTTTTAAGGTGCCCCGAAAGGAAATTCATAGTGGAAATTCATGGCAGTGTCACAGAACTCAAACTTAGGAAGGTCAGGTTCCAAGAGCCACAAGAAGCACAGGTTGCTTCTGTCTCTCTGATCACGGTGGCTTCTCTTCTGTGTGTCTGCCTGTCTCTCTCTCCCCACAGAGAGAAGGGGGTGTTTCAAGAATGGAGAATGCTTCTGAGGCATCGTAGAACAACAATAGGGAATGTGTAAATGGCCTTTGGGCTTAGTGATAAGGGATGTGTACCTGGCCTTTGGGCTCGGTGACCTTAAGGAGAGCTGTTTCAGTGGAATGGGGAGGCAATAAGCCATGATGGAGTGGGTCGATAAGTGTGTGAGGGGCAAGAATACGGTGGTGAGATGACTATTTGATACTTTACATATTATTTTTTTTTTTAAAGATTTATTTATTTATTTATTTATTTGACAGAGATCACAAGTAGGCAGAGAGGCAGGCAGAGAGAGGGAGGAAGCAGGCTGAGCAGAGAGCCCGATACGGGGTTCAATCCCAGGACCCTGAGATCATGTCCCCAGCCAAAGGCAGAGGCTTTAACCCACTGAGCCACCCAGGCACCCCTGCTTTACATATTCTTATTATCCCATAGCTAACCAACTAGGTTAAAAGAGCTTCAGAAAAGCTCAGCACTTTATTTATTTATTTATTTATTTAAGAAAGAGAGAGAGAGAGAGAGAGAGAGAGAGAGCGTATAAGCAGAGGTAGGGGCAGAGGGAGAGGGAGAGGGAGAAGCAGGTTCCCCGCTGAACAAGGAGCCCAGTGCGGGACTGGATCCCAGGACCCTGGGATCATGACCTGAGCTGAAGGCAGACATTTAACTAACTGAGCCACCCAGGCTCCCCAAGGTTCAGTACTTTAAATGGGATTATACATCCAATAAGTGGCAGACACAGGATTCAAACATATAAATGTCTTCCCTGCAGTACTGAACTCTTAACTGCAGTTAATTTTTCTACCACGTTCCTCAGGGCCATGGGTATGTGGTTACCCTGGAATAGAGAGTCTTTTTGGTCCCAGGGCATGTTGAGCACATTTGTGGCCACAGATGCTGTACAGAAGAGATAGCTGCCATGTTTTACTTGCTTCACAAAAATATGTGACAACACAGGGAAGGAGTTTATGTTCTTAATCCACTCATTAAGCTAGACTTATTATCACAGAATTGTCTAATTTGTTCCAACCTTCCAATATCACTTGCAATAAGTATACTATTTTGGTGGCCTATGGTCCCTTATCAGGGCACCTATAATGATGCAGTATTTTGTATTTGACTTGTACATTCTATCTGTAGCATTTAAAATAAAGGAATAATAGAGACAATTAGTTCTGCTAAATGCATCTCGGAGCCATGTGTTAGCTTATCTATGGATTTTCTCCTTAGATGTTTAAATATTCCCCCTGTAATTTAGGTTTCATCAAACAAAGGAGATCTGATTTAAGATAATTCTCCTGGTAAGAAAGCAATTGCTACTGCAATCTGCCATTCACCCAGAGCCATTGATCCCAGGATAAACCTTCATTTATCAGAGAATTCAAAATAAAACACAACATATGCTGTCGTTTATAACAAATTGATGGGTAGGAGTCTGCATTCTTCCTAGATTCTCCTATCCAAGCATTGTTTCATTCATCTGATGAAAATTACTGTAAAATATCAGTTTTTATCTCCTTTTGCCATTACTCTTAATTCAAACGACAAGCTGGTTATTTTTTAAATAAAGCCAGCCCATTATCTTAACCTTGTTGTACTAAAAAGTTTATTTAAAATTGTCTTTTCAAAGCATTTTTATTAGTATATTTTAAAATGGTCTCTTTTATAAGCCACTCCATCAGTTGGAGCCGTTCAGTCAGCAGTGTGTTAGTAAGGTTGGGAGGAGTTCAGGCATCTGGATTGTTCCTCTGGCCTTGTGCGGTGATTTTCTTGCAGCAACCATATAATCATCTACTGAAAGCTTCAGTCCAGGTATAAAGAGGTTGTGGCCATGAAGACATGCTTTTCATTAGACTTGTTATTGAGTTTTGCAATCTGCACATAGCAGGCAAAATGACCATGAGATGATAATTAAGTGGTATCTTTATTATTTCAGAGAGGAAAAAAAGGTCACAATTCTGGTGATTGCAAAGCCTCCGAATTGGAGATTAAAGAAAAAAAAAACAAAACACAAACCCAAAACATAAAACACTTGTGTGAACACAGATTCCCTCCTTTCACTTTTTAAATGTAGAAGATATTTTTTTCCTTGAATAATGAGTGTCTTGTAGGACAAGAGGCTCTTGACTGAAGGTTGGCATTAAAATACTTGCTATCTAACAGCAGTATAAACAGATTGTACAAAGGAGACCACTGTTTAATCACTGAAGTTCAAAACCAAGGTTTCTCTCTGCGAAGGGTGTTTGGAGCCTCGAAAAAATGCAACAGATGGGTACCTCAGATTTAAATTCTTTTGATAATGATTAAGGATTTTTGCTTAAAAATGATGAAAATAAAACTTTCACTGACAGTCTTTGAAGATGACGGGAGAAGATCTATCAGGAAATTATAAATTTTTTGTGGGATTCATTTTAAAGTAAATGTTTTTTGCTTCTCTGTACTATATGAATGGACTTTTCTGCATTTTAATAAAAGTTTTCACTTGAGCTCACATAAAACTCAGAAAGAAGCTATAGTTATAAATAACAGTGTGTGCATTATTTCTTGTACTTTTACTAAATTGAAAAACTTGAAAAAAATTTTAATCTCTGGTGCAAAAAAATAGAGATGGTCGATGTTCTCAACTGAACTGTAACTGTTAAATTATTTATCTTTCTTCTCTTGGTCGTTGTATAGAATATCACCACCTCAAGCAAACAAAACCTACCCATGACATATGTGACACAGGGGTGCTGTTCATATAGTTGTCTGCCAGTTTTCTCATCTGTAATCTCGATGGGATTATGTAAAATTCCATAAACATCAACAACGAATATATTTTGCTAATTCTAATAGATTCTTTTTTTTTTAAAGATTTTATTTATTTATTTGTTAGAGAGAGAGAGAGAGAGCATGACCACAGGCAGACAGAGTGGTAGGCAGAGGCAGAGGGAGAAGCAGGCTCCCTGCCGAGCAAGGAGCCCGATGCAGGACTCGATCCCAGGACGCTGGGATCATGACCTGAGCCGAAGGCAGCCGCTTAACCAACTGAGCCACCCAGGCGTCCCTCCTAATAGATTCTTAAGTTGCTTTCCCAAATCATTCAGAAGGAGTTGTTATGAAAACTTTCCACTGTAGTAGGTCCTTCAGGCATTTCTAGAGAATTGTCATTCCATGGTTTTAATGTGAAGAGGAAGGCTGTCTTGAACATATTCATCTTTAATTAAGCTTAGTGTATAGGCTAACATGATGTTTATTGTGTCTCCTCGTAAAAATTGCTGTTTTGGTAGTATACCAGTGCTTTGTTAATTTAATAGCCTCATATCTAATAAATTACTTCTATATCTTTATAGAATCTCTAAAAGCACATTCCGTACTATAATTCGCTAGTATGTGAAGGAAAACTTTTCACATTATAAACTATCAATAGTTACTGATTGAACTAGAGAAGGTTGAGGAATTCTGGAGTGGCAAATTTGTATAAATGAAACATCATACAGAATCATAGAATCATAGAAGATTTCTTAAGCTCCGGAAGGGACTTTTTATATTTATATTTTGTAGTGTGGATAGCATACTGAATATGGATGAAAAAATCAATATTAAATGTATTTTATTTAAATTAAAAAATATACATCATATTCAAATGCAACAGCTCAATGGTTACACTATAACAATCTAAAAGTTGTTAATTCCACAGCATGAGGCCCTATATATGCAAAATGAGATGAAATCTATGTG